AAATCACAGTGCTTAAAGTTTCATACAAAACATTTTTTTAAAGAAAGTAATGGAACTGTATAGGTATAAATACTCTGGGTGAATTCTAAAAGAACCTGAGGGGTCAGAGAGCTAGTACGGCCACATGCGCCATGTCCTGCTCAGGCCCAGCACCACACACGGCCTGCTGATCAGACATCCAAAAACAAACCCTGAGCATTACCAGGTATGGCCACAAAACAAACCAACAGAACGCATTTGATATCTTCTAAGAACTTGAAGTAACCAGTCATATTCTGCATAAGTAATTAAGACAAACCACTAATCAGGGATATATTCAATCTACATTTAGAAGGTGGTTTTCTTAGCATCTTGATTCCCTTTAGGTGACAGGCTAGACCTTTTATATTTTACTCTGTGTGAGTAACTTTATCAATTAAGTTTCAATATCATACCTATATCTAAAAATAATATTAAAAACATGTTTGGAGTTAGAGTATCTTAATTTATATTACGAGTACTTTTTAAATGTACTGAAACCTAAACATCAATATGCAAAATAAATTATTGCCCTAGCTATTTTAACTCTTTGTGTGGTAGGACTTTCTGGAGGAATGATAGCCATGTCCACTTGCTGACATACCAAATTCCACAGGATGGATATGTTGTTCCCAACGTTCTCCCTTCCGAAATCCGACATGCCATTTCGTCGGTAAAGAAACAAACAGCACCCGGCCCAGACAAGGTCACACCTGAACACCTGAAGAACCTGCCGTCAGTACTCATCAATACACTGGCTCGGCTCTTCACTCGCTACCTGTCTGAATGCAAGGTTCCGTCCCAATGGAAAACCAGCAGGATCGTACTACTGTTCAAGAAGGGAGACATCCATGACATTGGCAACTATCGCCCAATCTGCCTATTGTCTGTCATCTACAAGTTGTTCACTCGAGTCATCCTAAATAGGATTGGCAGAACACTAGATGAAGGACAACCATGCGAGCAAGCAGGGTTCCGCAAAGGATTCAGCACCATCGACCATATCCACACGATAACCAAGCTCATTGAGGTTTCTCGAGAGTTCAAGATGCCGCTCTGTTTAACGTTCATTGATTTAAAGAAGGCCTTTGATTCTGTTGAGACGGAAGCGGTCATTGAAGCCCTAGCCAATCAGGGCATTCAAGCCCAATACATCAGGATCCTCCGTGAGCTGTATTGTGGATTCACTACCAGGATCTCACCATTCTACAAAGAAGTGATCGTTGATGTCAAGAGAGGGGTGCGGCAGGGTGATACCATTTCACCGAAAATCTTCAGTGCCACCCTCGAGAACATCATGCGATGACTGGAACAGGAAGGAATGGGAGTGAAGATAGATGGTCGGCAACTATACCACCTCCGCTTTGCTGATGACATTGTTTTAATAACACCAAACATCAGTCAAGCGGCACAAATGCTGGCCGACTTTGACCGTGAGTGTGGAAAGGTAGGACTACAGCTGAACCTTACGAAGACAATGTTTATGAGAAACAGCCTCGTTCCTGATGATTCGCTCTCAACAGAACGACCATCTCTGAATGCAATAGCTATGTGTACCTAGGTCGAGAGGTCAACATGACAAATGACCTGGCACCCGAGCTGCGCAGGAGGAAGAGAGCGGCTTGGAACGCCTTCAAGAACGTCGAAGAAATAGCTAAGAGGACGAAGAACCTCCGGCTCTGGGCACATCTCTTTGATTCCACTGTTCTTCCTGCATTAACATATGCCTCAGAGACCTGGGCCCTAGGCAAACAAGATGAGAACGCTATTCAGGTCTCCCAAAGAAGAATAGAAAGAGCTATGCTTGGAATATCACGTTTCACTCAAATGAGAGAACGAATCCGGAGTTCTGACATCTGTCGACGATCAAGGATCAGGGACGCTGTCTCATTTGTCAAGGTGTCAAAAATCAGATGGGTTGGTCACGTAATGAGATTTAAAGACGACCACTGGACTAGAGCTGTTACTGACTGGATTCCACGGGATGTCAAAAGACCGCGTGGCCGCCCACCTACCAGATGGTCAGACTTCTTCGTCAAGATGATGAACGATCGGTTTGAGGCCCTTCATGTTCCCGGAGCGAACAGATGCCATTGGGCTACACTAGCACGCAACAGGGACAAATGGAGACGTTACTGGCGCCCGCTCGAGCAAATCGACGACTAACGGGAAGTTAAGTGATTAAGTGATTAAGTGTGGTAGGACTTTCTGGAGGAATGAGGGTGGTGGGTAGGACTAGACTTGGAGGTCTTCAGAGGCTTACCCTGGCCCTGTGCTTAGGAATCACTCCTGCCAGTGTTTCAGGGGACCATATGCAGTGATGGGGTTTGAACCTTAGGCAGCTGTTTGCAAGGCAAGTGCTTTGCTTCCTGTATTCTCTCTCCAGCCTGGTTTTACCTCTTCTAAAGCAACAAATGAACAGTCACAGAAAGTTCGGTAACATAAAGCTCTCTCTTATGAACCTTTCCACACAATTGTTCAAGAGTATACAGACATAGAAATAATCTCAGCTCAGCGGTATGATTTATGAATGTATGAGTATGTATGTGTGTGTTGTGTTTGTGTGCAGTCCCACAAAGAAACATTGTCATCAGGATAGTAAAATAAATAAAGAAAATTAATCAGAGATTAGAATCTGAAGATTCAGGCTATTTTTTAAAATTATGACAGTCTGAAAATTGTCACATTAATTCCCATACTTAATGGTAATGATCAGGAAAAAAACTTTTTTTTCTTCTAGGGGCTGAAGCGCCAGTGCAGAGGGTATGGCATTTACCTTGCATGCAATCAACCAGGGTCAATCCCTAGCACCCCATATGATCCCCCAGGCCAGCCAGGTGTGATTCCTGAGCACAGAGCCAGAAGTAATCCTTACAGGGTGTAGCCAACCCACAATATTTTTTCCTTCCATCAAATTCCTGGGTAAGACAAAAGAACAAAAATAGTACCATGCTAACAGCCTCTCCCAGCCTCTAACCTCCACCACCCCCACCACCAAGGGAAAAACCAAAACCCACCATCTGTTTCATGTATCAGTAGGGTTAGAATATTTAATTCATTTCCACTATTTCAGAGATTCTGTCATCCTTCTGGGATGCAAACAAAGCATCCTTCTTCTTGCAGGTAGAAGTTGATCTCCCAATAGACGACTGGTTAAAGAAACATGAATACATCTACACAATGGAATACTACGCAGCTATTAGGAAAGACAAAGTCATGAAATTTGCTTATAAGCAGATAGTTATGGAGAGTATCATGCTAAGTAAAATGAGTTAGAAAGAGTGCACAGAATGACTGCACTCATTTGTGGAATATAAAGTAACATAATATGAGACTGACATCTAAGGACAGTAGACACAAGGGTCAGGAATATTGCTCCATAGTTGGAAGCCTGCCTTATGAGCTCGGGGAGAAGCTGGAATAGAGAAGGGATCACTAAGTCAATGATAGTTGGAGGGAATGTTCAGGAGGGGAGACGTGTGCTGAAAGTAGATAAAGGGCCAACTGTGATAGCCTCTCAGGATCTGTACCGCAAACCATAATGCCAAAAAGTAGAGCGAGTATGGGGGAAATTGTCTGCCATAGAAGCAGGGGGAGGTATCGGTTGGGGTGAAGGGGGATACTGGTCACATTGATGGTGGAAAATGTGCACCAATGGAAGGGTGGGTGTTAGATCATTGTATGACTGAAACTCAAACAAGAAAGCTTTGTAAGTATTGCTCACAGTGATTCAATTAAAAAAAAATCAGAAGAAGATCTTCTTTAGAAGTCAGATCTTTATAATTACTTTATAATTAACTCTTTCAACAAAAGCTGATGTTTTCTTGGAAAAAAAAATCATGCCTATCTCCCCCACCCCCAAAACACCTTTTTCACCTCAGAAGTTCACATTCACATAACCATAGCTGATTTGATTCTTTCAGGCAAGGTATTTCTGAAAAATCAAAACTCAGCCTTGGAGGCTCAAAGAGCTGAGTGCATACTTTGTATGGGAGGAGGCAGGATCGAGAACGGGGCCTGCTCCACACCAGACCCCTCCAACCACCAGAAACAGCTCATAAGTCCAGAGCCAGGAGTGCCTGGGTACCACCAGGTGTGGCTCACACACCCACACACAAATACATTTCAAATTTAACATTTTCTTCATCTTTGAGGATTCTGAATCACAAAGAAATCTGGTTCTTCATTTTGAATCAATAATAATCCCTTAAAAGTTTAATATTCAAAACAATCACATAAAATACTAGTTTTATAATTAGAAAAGATCAAATGAACCAACAATGCTAATAATCAATTTCCAATTACTCTGGCATCTGGAGAAAATGATAGACACAATTGATAATAGTCTCCCAGTAAAAGGGTGAACAGTTTAAGAATGACAAAGTCTCTAAGTATGCAAATAAGCTAATTACTCACTAGCAGAAGCTGTTTTTCCTTTTTATAAGAATGCACCTAGACATTCTACATGGTTATAATTTAAAGGAAACACAATGGAGCATTTTAGATGCAAAATGGATAACAATAATTGGCTAAATTCCAAATTTACAGAAGATACAAGGGCCTTAAATGGAGTTTGCATATAAAAAATACAAACTATTTTATGTATCTAATATACAAACCTCTATGTTTCCCTTTAAAATGCTTAGCATCTACTGTAAACTTTAGTTATATAACTCACTTTAGTTATATAAACTTAGTTACACTTGTCACTCTAATTCATAAAGACCCTTTATATTCATTTAAAATTGCTGAAATTAATAAAACATAGCCTTTAAGATGATGATCACCATATACACTGTTTCATACTACAGAGGCTGGGGAGGTGGCCAAAGGGACTGAGTGGATGCTTTGCCCAGGAGGTCTGGGTACAATTCTGGCATCAGATGGTTCAGATACCATTTAGAACAACCAAGCCAAAAATAACCAGTGAGCATGGCCTGGTGTGGCCCCCAAACCAAAAGAAAGAAATAATTCATACTTACTACATCAAACTTCTGTGTGATGTTCCCCTGGACATCAAGTAGATAAACCTTGCCATAATGTGTGCCCAGTGCCAGAAACTGAAAGAAGAACAGAGGGGTCAGTCTACTGGGGTGTCACTAATGAACTTGGTAATAAAAACATTTGCAAAGTTAAGACACTTAACGACATCAGTGACCTGCAATGCCTGGAAGACACCCTTCCTTGGAAAAGGCTCCTGGGAAGTAACAGAACAGGCCTCTACTGTGGCAGTGGAGGGAGCTGTCAGAATGACTCACGAGGAGCCTCGGCTACTGACAACGAACAGCGAGTGTGCAGGCAGTACACAGTGCCTGATGGACTGCAGCGGGAAATTAAAATGCAGCGGTGAATGCTCACCCGCCCACAGCTGAACTCTAAGTCACACGGAACGATCAAGAAAGCCCCCTTCACTTACAGCTAATGTGTGGATTTTTGCTATTACTGAAGGTCAAAAAAATATACACACCTACAGAGAGCAGAGAACTATTTTTCAGAAAGAAATACGCATGCCACCTTGAAGTGAGAAAATTCAGATGGACTGATACTATCAGAGCTAGCATTCCAATGTTACTGTGACCATAATGTACGATGCTGAGTATAAATGTCTGGACTCTAACCCCCCAAAGTCTTTTCCTGCTACAAAATAACTGGTGAGCCACACAGTTATCTTACCATATGAAAAGATCTATTTACCATGGAAAACTAATCACTCCCATTGTTGAACTCTCCGAAACTCAACAAGCAAACAGAAACTTTTGAGCTACTGGAATGGGACAGGAGGTCCTTCTTCCTCTTTGTGTCTTTAAGCCTTATTCCAGTAGCTGTATTTCAGTGCCTGCAAGCACGCTTCACTGCAAACTATAATGACACGCTCAAATTTGCAGGCACTACTAAGGGCTGCAGTCAAACAGTACAATCTTTAAGGAAAAAAATCTTACAGAACGTCCAGATTTTTAGAGATTTCACAAACTAGAATTGCTTAAAATGAAATTTCAGCTCGGGCTCTTACAAATGTGGAGCAACACAGAAGAGTCGCCACACAGAAAGAAGGGGATCATTAGAAATTCATCCCCTGTGATGCCTTTCATTCTTGCAAGGTTGCCTTTTTTCAGGAAGAAAAAAAAAGTCTCCTGGGTGAAAAATCAATACTGGTTAATAAAACATCAGGTGTGCAGACATAACTAGCTATGACGATCCCTCTGCATGCCTGCCTGAGTGTGCGGGTGCCAGCCGATCACTCATCCAGGACAGACAGGAGCCTGCAGAAGGGGGTGCCAGCCCTGCACAGGAGATGGAAGGGGGCAATTCTGGGGGAAACTGGCCTGAATATTTAAAATAAAGCAAGTTCCTCTAAAGCAGAAGAACTCTCTCAACAGAAGTGAAGACTCGGATGGTGGGGACTGCTTCTCTGTGGTGACGATCTGAGAATAACTGAACAGAAGGCCCAGAGCACCAACACAAGGCCCCAACAATGCACCCCTTCATTCTAGGGTCACCTGTAGGGAAGTACAGATCCTAAAAGCTCCCTGCAGCCAAGGCCTTGGCACTATGGATTCTCCTCACAAATACTGTACCTGGGCATTAGAAAACGGAGGGGGCCTATATCCTTTAAATGCCATAATACTGTGCAGCCCCCAGTACCTTACATTTGATTCTTCTCTTCTTGAACTTCCTAGTTTAATTTACTTTACTAACATTTTAAAGGTCCTGTGCAGCACATTTTACTCCAATTTTAATTCCCTCCCTTTTTCTTTTTCAAACAATACTATTTATTTAATATTTAAAGTATAAAGGAATAGAAAGAATTCTGACTTAATAGTTTCGATGTAAAATATGATTACTTTAGATTCTTGTCTTATTAGTAAATAGCTCATTGAAAAGTAGAAGGGAAAGGGAAGGAAACCCCAACTGGAGAGGAAATTAGTACAGAACTAAGTTCTACCATTTCATATGGTAAGATAAATCTTTTAAACTAAGAACTAAGTCCTAGTTTCCAGAATTCTAGTTTCTGTTTTGGGTCCCTCAGCAGTGCTCAGGGGTTATTCCCGGTTCTGACTCAGGTCTCCCTCTGGCGGGCTCAGGGGACCATATAGGATGCCCAGAATCAAACCTCTGTCAGCTGCAATTGAGTCTCCCGATCCACTGGACTGCGTCTCTGTAATTTTATGACACTATACCTTTTGTTTAGGAAAACATTCTCATATTTGAATTAGATTATTTTTGCTACCCTATTTTATAAATGATGTGATCTTCAAAAAATATATAACAAGCTTGATAAATCAATAAGATGGTTCTTAAAAAATTAATTTAACTACCAATATTATTGATGAGTATGCTTCCATTTGGTAATGCTTTCAACTATTTAAAATTCAATAAGAAGAACCGGCAAAATTGTCAGCTAATCACAAAGATAAGTACAAATTCTTTAAATGCTACTCTTATCAGCCAGTAAAAGCCTTGCACTTTTGCAACTATTAAAAAATTTTTTAACCTGAGAGCACTTAAAATCCAGGATGAGCAAAGAATATAATTTAATTATTCCCTTGCATTTTTCAGGTTTAATTACAGAAACATTTTAAATTCACAAATGGACACCCAATTTTTCTGAGCCCTACTATAACAAATAATTGAACTTTGTTATTTTTGGTTTTGGGGTCACATTCAGGAGTGCTTCTCAAGGATTACTCTTGGCTTGGCGCTCAGGAATCTTTCCTGTGGGTTCACGGGACCACATAGGGTGCAGGGGATGGAAACCAGGTTGGCTATGGGTCAGGTAAGCGCCCCTACTACACCATCTCTCTGGTCCATAACTGGACCTTGTGTAAGTAAGATATGAAAAGCAGTCCTGAAAACACACCCAAAAAAAGGGATGTAAACTCTAAGAAAGAATGAAATAATGCAATCTGCAGGAACATAGGTGAAACTAGAGGAAAGCATGCTGAGTGAAGTCAGTCGGGACAGATACAGAATGACCTCTCACATGTGGACTTAAGGATAATAGCCAGAATGACCTCTCACATGTGGACTTAAGGATAATAGCCAGAAAGGGCCAAGGCAACAGAAGGGAGAACTGATCTACCTCATCCATGCAGTTGAGCTGGTGGGGCCTGGCAGAGAGGAAGCCTGGGTCCCTGAGAGATGGAGGGGGTACACAGGTGATGAGTGTGGCACTAGTATTATGTGCACAAGAAATCTTTATTAATAGCACTGTAAACCACAGAATCTCAATTAAAAAAATTTTTTAAAGATGGTGAGATACAGTATAAGCAGATAAGGCATGTCGACCTGGATTTAATCCCCAAGACCCCATATAGTCCCGAGTCTGCCAGGAGCTATCCCTGAGCTCATAGCTAGGAGTGAACCCTGAGCACCACTGGGTATGGCCTAAAGGCATCACCACCACCAGAATTACCAATACTTTTATCTGGTGGGGGCATCCAGCCCAGGTCCAAGAGGAGGTGGGCAAAAGAGGCTGCATTTGGAGGCATGTGATAGCTAACAAGGACTGAAAGTCGGAAGTCTTTTAAAAGGAGGGTTTGTTCATATCACAAAGACTCGGGACATCAATTAAGAATTCTAGGCAGGAGATTCCATCACTCTATTTGCATCCCTGAAAAACTTGTAAGAAGCAGCATTAGGAGGGCACTCAGGACTGACTCCAAATTTGACTGAAAACCAAATTTTAAGAAAATAAGATAGTATGTAGCTCAGGCACAACTTCCAGAGAGAGATGAACGGGGGTCAGACTCAGCACACAGAGGAAAGTGCACCATCATATCAGACCACTGTAGGGAACAGCCCCGAAGCACTGAGCACGGCCAGGTAGAGCGCCCCATCCCCTCCCTGCTACTAGAACCCATTGAAAATAAGGAGACAGAGGACAGGACAGTCGGAAGGCACTTGCCCTGCATATAGTCAACCCTGATTTGATCCCCGACACCCCAGGAGTGATCTAAGCACTGAGTCAGGAGTCAGTCCTGAGTGCCACTGGTTGTGGCACCCAAAAACAAAACAAAACAAAAAGGGTAAGAAGAGCTCAGAATGGAAGATGACGGTGCGTGCCACCTAGAGGGGGAGGGGGGGTGGGGAGGGGAATGCTGGGAACAAACACAAGCCCGTAGCACCCCCCCCAGGGCAGAAAATGGCAGTTACATGGGCTGGGAGAGTGGGGCAGTCATGGGACCTATAGTTAGTAGGTGATAAAAATTAAAGTTTTTCTGATCTGTGTTTTCCACAGTTCCACGGCTCATTCCAGCAAGGAGGCAGCACATGGACTTATACTAGAAGCCTGAGAGAGAAAAACGGACACCAGCAGGGGCTCCTAAGGGCCTTGGCTAGTGACAGAGGACAGAGGGATGCCATCAAAGGAGAATAAACTGAACAGAAGCTTATTAGAGAGAAAAGAAGACAAATTCACCCAGTTCATGTCGGGTCTCAGATAAAAACAGAACCAGCAGCAAAGCTGTTTAGGAGATGGCTTGGACATATAAGGGGACCATTTGGGGGAGGGTCAAGAAAACTGATGAAATTTTATATTTAAAAGGACTTGTGAGAAGTTTGAACAAGCTGGAGCTGGAGAGATCGTACAGCAGGGACGGTGTTTGCCTTGATCGTGGCAAACCATGGTTTGATCCTTGTCATCCATTTGTTCCCCTGAGCATAGTCAAGGGTGAGCTCTGAGTTCTGAACCAGGAGCAAACCCTGAGCACTGCCAGGTTTGGCCCAAAAGTCAAAGGCAAATAACAACAACATAATGTGTACTAAAAAACAAGCCCTAACTCTGATCACTGCCTAATGCCACCATAGCAGTGTGGAATGTGGGTGCATGAATGCTGACCTAAGCAGAAGATTTGGGACTGTTTGGGAGGTTGCTGGGGAGGCAGGAGAGGAAGAGCGAGGGAGGGATGGGCAGAGAAAACCACCCCCATGGCACCCAAAGGGTGAAGCTCAGAGCAGCAGCCACGCCCAGGGCCCAGGCGCCCACCTTGTCATGCACAGTCATGCAGCTGGCCGCATCCTGCTGCAGGATCTCTGTGACCCCATTGGAGAGCCGCTCATACTTCAGTTTGGGCTCCTCTTCACTCTCTTCTTCCTGCAGAAAAACAGAAAAATGGCAGCCAACATGGATTTTGGGGGTTTTGTTTTAAAGAGTCAAAGACCCCAAACCATTCTTGGGAGAACCAAAGATGATTCCCTCCATGGTTGTCATGAACCACAACTGCAGCAAAAGGTTAGGGTCTTCACGGTCCCGTCTAACTGGAAATATGGGCTGCCACAATGTCACTAACAGAATAAACTCAAGAGTTGAAGACTCAGGAATCAACCTCCCGAACTTCAAACTGTACTACAAAGCAGTAATAATTAAAACAGCATGGTACTGGAACAAAGGCAGAACTGCAGACCAATGGAACAGGGTTGAATACACCGACATCTCCCCTCAATCATGTAATCATCTAATCTTTGATAAAGGTGCAAGTAATGTGAAGTGGAGTAAGGAAAGCCTCTTTAATAAATTGTGTTGGCATCACTGGACGGCTACATGCAAAAAAATAGGCTCAGAACTCTGCCTAACACCATGTACAAAAGTAAGATCAAAATGGATTAAAGACCTCAACATCAGACCAGAAACCATAAGGTACACTGAAGATAAAGTTGGCAAAACCCTCCATGACATTGAAGCTAATGGTATCTTCAAAGATGCCACGCCACTGGCCGAGCAAGTGAAAACAGAGATAGATAAATGGGACTATCTTAAACTAAGAAGCTCTGCACCTCCAAAGAAACAGTGACCAAAATACAAAGACAGTCTACAGAATGGGAAAGGATATTCACCGAATACACATCTGACAAGGGGTTGATATCCAGGATATACAAAATACTGGTTAAACTCCACAAGAAGAAAACATCCAACCCCATCCAAAAATGGGGCAATGAAATGAACAGAAACTTTCTCAAAGAAGAAATCCGAATGGCAAAAAAGCACATGAGAAAATGCTCTACATCATTAATCATCAGGGAGATGCAGATCAAAACCACAATGAGATACCATCTCACACCTCAGAGACTGGCCCACATTCAAAAGAACAAAAGCAACCGGTGCTGGCGTGGATGTGGCGAGAAAGGGACACTCCTTCACTGTTGGTGGGAATGTCCACTGGTTCAGCCCTTCTGGAAAACAGTATGGACGATTCTCAAAAAATTAGAAATTGAGCTCCCATTTGACCCAGCAATACCACTCCTGGGAATATATCCCAGAGAGGCAAAAATGTATAGTCGAAGTGACATCTGCACTTGTTTGTTCATTGCAGCACTCTTTACAATAGCCAGAAACTGGAAGAAACCTGAATGCCCAAGAACAGATGACTGGTTAAAGAAACTTTGGTACATCTACACAATGGAGTACTATGTAGCTCTTAGAAAAGATGAAATCATGAAATTTACATACAAGTGGTACAATATGGAAAGTATCATGCTAAGCGAAATGAGTCAGAAAGAGAGGGATAGACATAGAAAGATTGCATTCATCTGGGGGATATAAAGTAACAAAGTATGAGATTAATACCCAAGAATAGCTGAGATCAGCACCAGGAGGATTACTCCATAACTTAGAGGCCAGCCGGGTATCCTAGAGGAAAGGGCAGTTCAGATAGAGAAGGGAGCACCAAATAAAGGATGTTTGGAGGATCCTCCCAGGAGGGGAGATGCATGTCGAAAGTAGACTATGGACTGAACATGTTTGCCACTCAATGCCTCTTTTGCAGACCACAACGCCCAAAAGGAGAGAGAGAACACAGGGGATTGCCCTGCCACAGAGACAGGGGGGATGGGGGGATGGGGGTGGGAGGGATATTATCCATGGTGGTGGAAAATGGGCAAATGGGCACTGGTGGAGGGATGGGTATCTGATCATTGTATAATTGAAACCAAAGCACAAAAAATTGTAAATCTACAACTTAAAAAAAAAATAAAATAAAATAAAGGGAAAAAAAAAAAGAGTTGAAGACTCAAGTAACCTCACTTCTGTGGGCTGAATTTAATCAAGCTGGTAGCACTGTAGCACTGTCCTCCCGTTGTTCATTGATTTGCTCAAGCAAGCCCAGTAACATCTCCATTGTGAGACTTGTTGTTACTGTGTTTGGCATATCAAATACGTCACTACGTCACGGGTAGCTTGCCAGGCTTTGCCGTGCAGGTGAGATGCTCTCGGTAGCTTGCTGGGCTCTCAAGAGAGGGGCAGAGGAATCGAACTCGGCTTGGCCGGGTGCGAGCTGAGCTGGCTGAGTACAAGGCAAACGCCCTACTCGCTGTGCTATCGCTCCAGCCCCATCAAGTTTATATATCACAGTAAGTATCAGCTGCACTGCCATGTAGACAGATGCCAACCAAGAACATGTGTTCAGGGCCGAGAGGCAGCACAGAGGCCAAGTGCTGGCCTTGCACAATCCCTGGCACCCTGAATGCACCCCCAAGCAATCCTCACTGCAGTCAGGCATAAGCCCCAAGCACCTCAGGGTGTGGCCCCAAAACAAACCAACAAAAAAAAAAAGGAAATACATGAACTCAAAATACTTACAATTTGACCTCATGGTAACAAAACATTCACCGTGGAGACAGATGATGAAATAAAATGTATATTCAATCTTTAGATAAGAACAGACCCCTTTTCAAAATTAAAAAAAAAACCACTCAGCAACCCCCTGCAAATCAGCCCTTCTCTAAGGAAAAGGAGACAGTGTCCCCCACTGCACCCAAGGCTACTATCAACCCCCAGAGGGCTTCGTGCTCACTCTCCATGCCACCCACCTGGAAGCACTGCTTTATATTACAGTTCGAGTGCCAATTTTTATAATGGATGATCCACAGAGGAGGGTATTGATTGTATCTCCTCATACCATAAGAATGTCTTAGTTTATGTGTGGTTACTAGCTTACATGATGCTGTGGCACTGGGAGAGGTTCATGGAGCTGGGACATATGATGGCATGTTGGCTGCCAATGCCACATATCCCCCGGCAGTATGATCACACTGAACCCTCAGCACTGCTGGGGATGCCAAAGAAGAAAGAAAGGAACCTAAGAAGAATTTAGTAATCTATACTTTCTATGATTTAGACCATGGGCTAATATGTTAAAGACAGTTAAAATAAATACCCACATTTATTTCTATCGAGAATTAGACACAAGAAATGACAAATACTGAAAATTATGACAGGATAAAGCTAGCCAACATAAAATTTTACAGAAATAATCCATGCTGCAACATTTATGTTTTGTTTTGTTGAGTTTTTTATTTGCTTGTTTGCAGGGGCCGTGCTTGGCCACGGTCAGGCTTACTCCTGACTCTGTGCTCAAGGATCATTCTTGGTAGGGCAGGGGATCAAATCTGAGGTGAGCAAGTATGCAAGGCAAGAGCCTTTACCCAGTCCTATCGGTCTCATCCATATTCCACACGATTTCTTTCAAAAATCCTTGCTTCCCAGAAAAAATTCGAGGGCCTGAAGCATGGCAATGAATCCCAGGACAACCAGAAAGGCTTAAGGATGGATACACAGCACCAGGGCAGATCATCAATCAGGTACCCCAGAGCAGCAGAGAAACCGCGCACAGAGGAGCATTGTGGAAGCATTCTGCCACAAGCACTGACCACATCCACACTCCAGGCGAGAAGCCCCGATCCTGGCAAACCTTCAGGTGCTCATGGGCACAGAATGATAACCCAGGAGACTTGAGGGTTAAGAGCTTGTGAGAAAGATCTCAGAAGGGAAGCTGGTTTGTTACATAAGCAGGGTAACACTAAAAGTGTATCAAAAGTTCAGCCTAGGACCAGAGAGGTAGTACAGGAGAGGAGACACTTGCTGTATATGTGGTCCACCCTAGTGCAAGTTTCCAGCACCACAAACGATCCCGAGAGCCACTGGGTGTGACACAAACGCACCCCTTCCTTCCAAAATCCCTCCAGTAGCGCTTTGACTCAGCTCAATTTCTGACTTAAGTAAGGCATGTTAATAACCCCTAATCTACCTGTCCTTTGCTTCATACAAAGAAAATTTCTCTCTGGACTACAAAAGCAACCAATGCCTCTCCAATTTTTCACTTATAACACTGAAGAGTCAATTAAAAATATCACTGGGTATGGCACAAAACAGAACCAAATGACGGAAATCAAACAGGAAAAATGACCAGAAAAACAGCAGATGCTGGTGGCCTACACTGGGGTTAGCATGGTAGTTCACACAGTGACCACAGGGTTGACAGAAATACAGCTGGCTCATTCAACAATAAAGAGAAAGGAGAAGAGAGATGAATATCTGAAATAGCAAGAATTACAATCAGTAAAAAAATATGAAGTTTTAGAACTGAGGAATGTAACTAACATTAAGAATACTGTGTATGTTTCCTAGAAAAGCAGCAATGCATAAGACACAATTAATGACATAGAAAATAAGTTTGAACAATGTTATTCAGGGGCCAGAATGATAGTACAGTGAGTAGGGCATTTGTCTTGCACACAGCCAAGTCAGATTCGATCCACTGAGCTCCACTAGGAATGATCCTTGAGCACCAAGCCAGAAGTAAGGCCAGGTGTGGCCCCCCAAAAAACAAACAAAACATACCAAAGGAAGGGGGGAAGAAGGGGAAACAATTGCACAGGCCACATGGGACTCAGCGAAGAAGTCCAACAAGCAGATTAACTAAGAAGAAAACTGCATCTCAGCACACCACAGTAAAAAGAAAACTATTAGAATTCTTAAAGATTATGAGACTAATGAAGCACCAAGCAGACTGAAAGCTAAAATGTTTACAGAAGCTGGAGGGCAGATAATTCCTTCTTCATGTGGTACGGGGCTATTATTCGTGCATAAGGAGGAGAAAAGAGAAATCGTAAACATATCATAGACTTAACATGTTCTCATCATAGACTGAACATGTTCTCATTTACCCTAAATTACAAAGAAAAAAAAAACCTACCAAAACCCCACCCAGCTTAATGGAGTAGTAAGTATAATATTCTATGTCACTGATTTTCTGTAAAGGTTGATGATCGGAAATTTTGGGTAATTTCAACCATAACACATAGAAAGCAAAGCCAAAA